AAGGTACAGATGTGCTACTGAGTACCGGGTATTCAACTTTTGACGCTTACGAAGCGTCTCACAAACGTTCCCACTCGTTTTTTTCTGTATAGGTGCTTTAATTCGGCGTCGTTTAAGACACTGCTCATAAAAATCCGTGGAGAGAAGGCGGATCTAAAATTGGTTGCTAAACCAAACCCTTAGTTTTCCGTTAAATACATACATTTTTCCAGCTGAAGCCGGAAATACCCTGGCAGTTTTAGCAGTATTTATGTTGATGTTTCCATATAACATCCATATAATTCATCTCCATTATATCTCCATATTTATATCTCCAGCTCAGTAGGGCGTTCGACTTTTTAAACCACTCTCTTCTTTCCTAAAAGCTTGACCATATAGGGTTTCCGCCTAAAGATTCTTCAAAGAGTTATCTTCAAAAACTTGTATCTTTTCTTCAACTGTAGCCATCTAAGCCCTTACTTTTCACACTCTTTATTAATGACCTAGTTCTCGAGTACTTATGTGTGCGGATGATGTTTAGCTATATGTCCAGTATACACACAACTCTCTATAACTTTCAGTCATGGTTCTGTGAAATTTAGAACTGTGAATTTTAAAGTAATGACATTTCATCGCTTATATGCTTCTTAAGCCTTCTGCTGTACTTCTCTTTTAAAAATTAACTTTTGATTACCTTTTATTGTTGAGCAGGACCCCAAGTTATAGTTTTCTGACTACTATGAGACTACCAAAGTAGATTACTTTTAATAAACCCTCCATCGTAAGTCGTTGAAAAATTCTTAGTGTAATTTTTATGCGCAACTTAACCAAAGGGGACGCAGATAGATAGCCGCATTAACTTTACAATTCTCATTAGGCCCCACTAGATCCATCTTTGTTCCTTTATTCCTTTATTCCTATGCCCTGCATGAACCGTTTAGGGTTTTATGCTAGGATTATAATTCCCTCTACTACATAATATCCTCTTCTAACCCGTGGTTAGTTTTATTTCCTTTGTTTTTGGCCCTTTTAGTTCTGTTTAGTTCTAATTTTCCTAGAGTACTGTCTATCATCTTTCTTTAATGCATGTTTGCTACTAGTTCGGATTCACTCATGGCGCGTCATGAGGCAACGCCCCTCGGTCGGCTTGTTGTCGCATGGTCCTCTTGATGGTGCAGTCATCAACATCTAGAACAACGTCCAGAACAGTTAGTTAAATTTTTCCTGTGCGTTTTTGTTAATTATCCCGTTGGATACGAAAATGGTTAATAACCATCTAATAACTGCACACCCTAAAGCAGACTTATTTTGTGACCAAGTCCCAATACAAGCAATCTGTACCGATCAACCACCATCAACATATGTACATATACCAATACTAACTCACATGGAACGTCCTTAGCATGTTCGGACAAGCTGGAATTTCCTTAACAGGGGATGGTCATATTGGCCTAATCAATGTACACAAATTAAACTACGTGCGACCTATGACTATGCACGAGGTAGATTGCAAGCTCATCTATAAGCACTGCGTGTGCTGAAATGTAGCTGTACCTTTTTTTGTGTATCAACCATAGACCAGTTCGAAATCGACTACAATTGTTTCATTTTCATTGGTTGGTACAAAATTATACTCATGTACCAAAGTAGCGCCATCTGGTCATATCGTAATGGATGCTGCTTGATTTTGACTGCTTGACGCTAGATGGCGTTTGGTACAACCAAAGACAATAATAGTCGTTATTAATTCTGACCTCACCTTTTCCATCGAAAAAAATTAGGGCTTGAAGTAATTTTTCGAAATATTTCGAATTTTCTGATTGGTTGAAAGTCAAAAAGTCGAAAAAGTATTTATTTTAGAACATACAGATGTGTTCAACGAACTTTCAAAACTATTTTTAAGACCCTTCCAGTCTTTCGAATTGAACAAGTGATACCTTTTTGGAAGGCCTGAAATGTATGCATTTTAACCTCGAAGAAATCAATTACACTTGCTCTCCATCTTTTTGTTTTTCTTGATTTTTAATACCTACCGATCAAATCTGCTGTTCAATGATATTGTAGTGTTTTTTTAGAAAACCGAAATAAACAAAACAATTGAAATGTATTTAATGCTCTATATGTTTCATGAGGTTTAACATGTAGTTTTTGTTGAAATTTTTGTTCACAATACTCTCACTCCCACCTGGCATGTGTACATAAAGTCCTGCCCAAGCTTAAATAGGATCTATGACTTTATTTCTTAAACCACTTGGCAAGACTGTGCTGTGGCTGACGGATATAAAATCGTAATAATGCATTTCACATTCCTCAATAAGATTACGTTGGGATTTTGGTTTAGAGACTGAGCTGGACATGGGAAAGTGTCAAACTTTTCAGTTTATCTCGTTGAACTAATCTTTTAGGAGGCCTTTTTAAATGGTAATATTACTGTACCGCATTAAAAAATTTTCTGCCACTTATTGGCGTGGCCCATTAAAAAGACAGGTGTTGAAAAACCCGCTACACCATCAAGTTATTACCTCAAACAAGTCGGGAAAATTAAGAATTCTCTTTAGAAAAATTTGCTTTTTGCATTAACATTTTTTAACGAAATTCAGTCCGTGTGCAAGTGTCTAGTGAGTAAAAGTAACAAAATAACTAAAGGTGCAAACCAACAATGCGTAGAGAAGTGTGAGACGGTACCGGTACTCAGTCAGCATGTATGTACATATTACACGTAACCTATGTAAATCTATTTTTTTTTTGTCTGTCATAACTTACAGAAGCTATACATTTTTGTGCATAATTTTTGAGGATATTCAATGCTAGGGAATGCGGTCATCCATCTTATACCATCGACTAAAATATACGTTTTTCGCAAATACAATCAATTTTCCGGGCTCGTTTTTATAGTTGATTTCTTCAATCTTCTGTATTTGTGCGAATAACGGTTGTATGTAACGCACAGAAGGTCGTTTCCGACCCCATAAAGTATATATATTCTTGATCAGCATCAATAGCCGAGTCGATAGAGGCATGTCTGTCTGTCCGTCTGTCCGTCCGTCAGTCTTGTTTGTCGGCTAGTTCTCATAGACTATAAGAGCTAGAGACACTAAATTTTGGCTCCGGACTGCTGTATGCTCACACTGAAGCCAGTGTATTTCAAAAATGAGCCACGCCCCCTTCCGCCCCGCAAAAGGGCGAAAACCTCCCAAAGCTAAAATTTTAAAGATAAAAGAAAACTAAAAACGCTATTCCATAGGGAATGACCATATCTATCAGACCACCATAATTGAGATCATTATCATAGCCAGAATGAAGAAATTAATTTGCAGTGGCTAAAACCACCCTGTCCCGCAGCTTGTGATCCCTCGAGCTAAAAAATCGTGTTGGCGTGAGAAGTGTGTTACATGTAGATGACAGATGAAGAAAAAATGTAAAATTTGACAAAAAACGCTACGGTACAGATGTAGTACTGAGTGCCGGGTATAAAAGTTGTGACGCGTAAGAAGCGTCTCACAAGTCCCTTCTCATTTTCTAAGATCTTTGTGATGGAAACCCAATTTATGTATATAATGCACCTTTGCAATGCGGATAAACACCATCTGAATATTCTCCACCAAAACCTACCCTCGTAGAAATTAGGCACTCGTACATTATTTATTTCAAATTCGTTTTGTTTGGTGTTCATTCTGGCCTGTTGCATAATCAGTGGGAGCCCCGCAACGCTGCACCCGCTCTCACAATACAGACCTATCAATGTCAAACACTCAGCTTACCTTCATCTGCAGCTTTCGCATGATGCGAGTCTCTTCCCAACGATCCAACTCTTCCCACTCCTTTCCACGCCTACGCAGAAGATAGTAGCGGTACATAACGATGGTTACGGCCAAGAGAAGGGCAAGGCCGGTACCGGCGGCAGCGCCTAGGACCGCAGAACTAACCATAACCATTTTGATGGTGGGTCCTTGTCACTGGAATAAGTTGACAGATAAATAAAACAGACGGGATTTTAATTATAACTGAAGTTGTAATTGTGAGCCATAAAAATATTCTCTCCATAAATTTCTTGTGTAGATCTTTCCAGCCAGGAAAGATGCATTCACATCGTGGTAGTTATTCATCAAGATTAGGGTTTTATCAAGAAAAATGTAATTTAAATCGCAACAAAATAAACTGGTTAAATGGCAAAACGAAAAGTCTTCCTTTTTGTAGGTTGCTCTTTGTTCTCCCTGAATCTGTGGTTCTCCAAAATCTCCACACTATCCCATGAGGATGGCTGAGAAGCGATGGGGACCCCCATGTACAATATTAGGGTCACTAGAGACAGCATTGCAATGGTAAGACGCATTTTTTACAGTCCACAGAAAACCACTCCGAGCAAGCTTAAGAATACTAATATGGTGAAAAACACATTTTGATGCCGCCACGAAGCTATTGTTATTGTCATTGAAAATAGCGGCAACTGTGTAAACTTAAATTTGGTAGTTTCCAAACATGATAGAATATCGAATTCTGCTGAGACTACGTCGTTTCTTTTTGTCATAAATGTGTATGTTAACAGTCAAGGTTCACATAATTAACGAATCCATTTTTAAGTATAGAGAAGTGGGGATGTGGCTTAAAGTCGGGTCCGTGTGCTGGGTATTTAGGAAAGTTAAATCGATTGGCTTATCGACAGTTGCATCGTCATTCTCTTCGTCCTCCACTTCTATATAGTAAGCTTTCCTTTCACCAGTTTCATCGTCGTCACCGCCTGCTTATATATCGTCATAGGAATCGTCAGCAGTAGGTTCGTTCTTTAAATGGGCTTCCTCTTCTGCGTTCTCACTGTCTTTCTGATAAGTGTTTGTGTTCGGGTTGAATTCTGTTACAATTAACGGTTTGATCACCTCCTGAACATCCTCCAAGGGTTTCGAAGAGATCATGGCAACACCCAAGCATCCGATTAACGTAAGAAAATACCACACACGCATTTCGTTCGCGTTTAAATGAAAGCTGTTTCGGCTTTTAGCAGAAACAAGTCTTTTTAAACACAATTTTCTGTCAAAAGAAAGTTTTCGTTTTATTCAAAGAAATTCAAACACATCGCTATAGTCTGACCGAATTATACATTTTAAGCAACGGCGAGAAACCGAGGCCTGGCATGGAAAACAACTGGACCATGTCCTCCGAGCCTGGGCCAAAATGGAGGACTTTTCTTCTTGGGAGCCGGAACTGTTATAGCATTGTTCTCTCCTGTGTCTTCATTGTTGCCATCTTCCTCATCAGCCTCATCTTTATTAGTGTCTTCGTCTTCAGAATCTTCGTCTATAGCATCTTCATCTTCACTGGAGTCTTCATCTGCTCCCACCTGGCTCTCTTCTTCAACCGCATCCGCGTTATCGGTGTCAGCGTCGCCATCAACAACAGCAGCAGTTTCTCCATACTCAGCTGGACGGGCAGCCACAAAACTTACAGCCAGGAAGGCCAACAGAGCTAAAACCATCTGAGTACGCATTTTGGACTTTGACTTAAGAAACTGCTTTCCAATTTCACTTGGCCTAGAGCTTTTTATAGAAAAAGCCTGGCCAAATTTGCCAGAATAGGGTGGGGAATATTACCGAAATCGGGTTATACGCAATTTTTATTTGAACAACTGTTTAAAGGAAAAGTTTTACAAACGTCTTTAGCAATGAGGTGTTCTTTGTTGTCTATAGAGAAGAGAAAACGAAGAGGGACGTGTGAGATGCTTCTAACGAGTCACAACTTTTATACCCGCTACTCAGTAGTACATCGGTACTTAAGTGCTCTTTTAGCTCGCCCCCCTCCCCTAGAGCCGCACACTGCACGAAGCAGAGTGTGAACTGAGAGAATGTGCAAAAAATAAGAAAACTGCTGAAGGGGTTTGGGATAGCCACTACAATTAATATCGTCTTTCTGGCTTTAATAATGATCCAATCGGATTTTAATTCAGTGATCTGATAGATATGGCTATTCTCTACGGAAATGCATTTTTACATTTCTCTTATCTTTAAAATTGTGGCTGTGGGAGATTTTCGCTCTTTGTGTGGCGGAAGGGGGTTTGGAGAAATTTTGAAATACACTTGTAACAGTGTGTGTGATATATCGTGAGTCTTCACACAAAATTTGTTGACTATAGCTTTTATAGTCTCTGATATTCAAGCGCTCATCAAGACGGACGGCAGACTTACGGACCGACAGGCATCGCTGTATGAACTCGCCTATTGATTCTGATCAAGAATATATATACTTTATGGGGTCGGAAACGCTTCCTTCTGTGAGTTAAATATGTACATCCACTTTTTTGCACAAATCAATAGCCCCTGTTTGCAGTTCGAGTACCGGGTATAAAAAAAGGTGATTTACAATCCAGCATCAGGACTCCAAGAATGTGTCGGTGGGAAGAGGGGAAATTGTGTAAAACAAAAAAAGCTGTTTGTTCCCATCCATGCCTGCGCAGTGGCAAAATGTCCGACTGATCTACTTAACTGTCACCTCTGCCAGAGGAGCTATCAACATTATAGTCGCCCTCAGTTCCATATGCTGTCACATATGCTGTATTCTGAAGAGCCACTAAGCAGACAAATATTAGAGTCCGTTTTTCTTCCGTTAACGATCAGATTTAAGCTGCATTACCATCTTAGTTGTAGTCCCTTTTGCTTATCGAGCACACTCTAAACTGCATACTTTTGCAATCAGTGCATAAGCCCATTTCGTGAGAAATATAATAACACTACTCGATACGATTTTGCCGCTTCGATCCAGACTAACGTTTTCTGAAAGATATGGGGCTTAGAAATGTGTTGATGATAATTTTTTTTTTCTATTGCAGAACTTTTTTGTAAAGAATTTTTAAAATCTGTTTTTTAACTTTTTCTTAGAGGTAGCGCTTTTTTTTACATAACCTAAGCGTCTTACATCTTGTTGTATCGGTCGGTTGAACAATTTTAGCTCAGCCGTCTCTTCATAGGTGTTTACGAGCAATACCCTAAACTAGACGTCGTTCAAAGCAAAGTTTCAAAGTTAAGCATTTCAAAGCTTAATATTTTTCAAACGGTAAGCCACAAAGTGTTTGGGTGTACATTATAGATGCATTCATCAGAAAAAAGATCCCAAAGAAAATAAATCCATAATTGCTAAAACCATTTTATTTCCCCCAGTCTGAAATATATATAAAGAATGTTAAGCAATGTATTGCTATTGCAATTAGGTGTATTGCTAACAACGTTTGTGCAGTTAGTCTTAATCTGCGTTATTTTTCTTGCTCTCATCGCTTTCCTCATCAACATCTATATCATCGTCTTGTTCCTCTGAATCATCTCTCTCTTGGATTTCCTGGTCTTCCTCATTTTGGGCATCATCCTCATCCACATCCACATCCTCATCCTCTAATTGCTCTACGTTCTGGTCGTCCTTGATGTCATCAATATCAATTGAGTGGGACGAAACTGTAGCCAGCAGCACAATTCCAAAGAGGGCAATCAGCAAAAAGGTACGCATGGTCTTGTTTAGGTTAGTCTCTAACTAATTTCAAGTTCTCGACTTAATTTCCTTTTTATAGCAAATTGCAAATTGCCAAGAGCGTAGACTGGGGAGTGAGTTTCGATGTTTGAGCTGGAGCAGCTGTTGCCTTGGATTGCAACCAAAAATTCAAAACAGCTATGTGTAAATATTTGGCTGCTATAACTGTAGATAATATCAATTCCCGGTTCATTACAGTACAACGTCTAGAAGTAGAATCACTAATTGGTAATTGTTGCATTTTGAAGGCTCCATTTATGATCCTACATAACATTACTACCCCCTATGTAGGTAGGTAGCATTATTACCCCATCCGCTTCACATAATTATTATACTCGGTAAATAGGGTAATTTGTATTTACGGGGAAAAGTGAATGTATGTAACGCATAGAAGGAAACGTTTCCGACCTCACAAAGTACATATACAAATTCTTGATCAGCATCAGTAGCCAAGTCGTTGTAGCCATGTCCGTATGTCCGTCCTTATGAGCGCCTAGTACTCAGAGACCATAAGAGATAAGGCAACCAAGTTTTGAATCCAGATCCGCGGCAGAGGAAGAGGCACGTGCAAAAAACAAATATAAGCTGTTGGACAGGGTGGGTTCAGCCACTACAAATTTATTTCTTCATTCTGGCTATAATAATGATCCTATCGGTACCCAATTTGGTGATCTGATAGATATGGTCATTCCCTACGAAAATTGTAGGTTTGGGAGGTTTTCGCCCTTTGGCGGGGGCGGAAGGGGGCGGAGCTAAAATTTTTAAATACACTGGTTTCAGTGTGAGCATACAGCAGTCTGGAGGTGGCTCTAGCTCTTATAGTCTCTGAGAACTAGCCGACAAAAAAGACGGACAGACGGACAGACAGACATGGCTCAATCGACTCGGCTATTGATGCTGATCAAGAATATATATACTTTATGGGGCCGGAAACGTTTCCTTCTGTGTGTTACATACAACCGTTATATACAATATACTCTATTTACTCTTCGAGTACCGAGTATAATAATTCCATTATGTAGGGAAGGACCATATCTATCAGTTCACCGAATGGGGATTAGATTTATATCAATTTTATAGCCAAAAAGAGGAAATTAATTTGCAGAGGCCAAACCCACCCCTTACAGAATTTGTTTTTATTTTTTGCACATTCTCTCATTACACACTCTGGTTCGTGCAGTGTGCTACTCTAGGGGAGGCGGCGAGCTAAAATATCGTGTTGGCGTGAGAAGTTATGTAAATGTGGATGGCAGATGTAGAAAAAATTAAAAATGTCAGATGTAAAATTAGAAAAAAAACAATAAGGTACATTGACTGAGTACCGGGTATAAAAGTTCTGACGCGTAAGAAGCGTCTCACACGTCCCTTCTCGTTTTGAATGGAATCTCACTTTTTCAAAATTAATTAAAGACTCGGTTTTACCATTTCAAAAATACCGGTACGACTTTTCTCAAGAATCATCTTTCTTATCGGAGATAAGTGGAATGGTAAGTAGTATGAATGTTACAACCTTTATACCTGGAACTCAGTCAGTATATGCATACATATGTATGTAATTTAATATGTAGTATGTTAATACATACATAGACGGCTATTGATGCTGATCAAGAATGTATAATTTATAGGGTCGAAAACGTTGCCTTTTGTCTGTTACATTTTACGACCACAATTACAATATACCATATTTACTCTTTGATTCCGAGGTATTAATATCAACAAATACCGAAAAAGGAATCTGTTCCTTATTTGGAAATGTTTTAAAATAAAATATTAGGAAGTTACAATAAATGGCAATAATTTAATTTAGTCAAAATTTACTGTAGATTATTCATAGATATGTTTATTACATTAGGCTTCATTCCATTCCTCGAATTTTGTTTATGTTTGTACAATTATCTCAATCATGGGCTTCTCATATGCTTTTGGGGGGTAAAAACAACTACATTTTTCCGACTAAGTTTGAATAGTGCCAGATACCGTAGAACCTTGATGACTGTTTGCGTACTGTAATCATTTACACAATCATTCTGACTACTTTTAACATTCATCAAAGGTATAAAACCCCAGTAAAACGACTTTGAAAATACAGTTTCTGCTGCACTCAGCCAATCAATCTTCAGTAATCATGCGCTCCATAGCATTCGCAGTTGTAATATTTGTCGGCATCCTGGCCTACAGCAATGCAGCTCCTCAGATTAACCTCGGCAATCTGGCCTGGCTGGAGAACATTCTCAAAGGCTTAGGATCCCAGAATTCCACCATTCGGTTCGGCAACAATACTCTGATCGTATCGGGAGTGTCCACAGCAAGTGCCAACGTCAACGCGTCTCAAGTAGAGCCCCATCGTCCCCATCATCATACTCATTCATGGGGTAACTATCCTGGTTACGGCTACGGCTCCGGTGGTTACTGGCGTATGGTTCCATCTGTGGATGGCGAAATCATTGAAGAGCCAGAGAACAGTCAATCTTATGAATCGAATGATTTTGCCTTTGATCTCTCTGAAGATGAAAGTGTTGAGGGCATCATCGAAGAAGATCAATCTGACGAGGATCATTCATTTAGCGATGCTAGCTCAGAGGCTGAGGATGAGCTCGGTGCAGAAGCCGATGAAGATCAGCTTGACCAGGAGGATGTAAATGAATCCATGAATGAAGAGGTCGATCCCGAAGAAGAAGCCGCAGACAAGGAATTAGATGATGCCGAAAGTGAATTGCCCGTCGAGAAAACCAACTAGCTGATGAGTCTGAGCATACGGATACGTCAGTTAGATATCAACAACGCAGACAATAGTTAATTCAATCATACCTACTCCAATTTTAGTACAGCATTTTTTAATTTATCACTGCATATTTTTGGGATCACTGACAAATAAATATCTTATATGTACAAATACTGCTATTAGGTACTGCCAGCTATTGATTAGGTAACGCATGGCTCGGGCTCGGGCTCGGGTGGGGGCTCGCCCTGCTTCGATACGGGCCCCCGGGCCCTTGCGCCATGCTCTAGGATACATGAGGATCACATACAACTTAATACAATGACAACCCCCGATAAGGATATCTTAAAGGAGGACACGGCCTGCCTGGTTAAAGCATTTACCGATGCTCTGCAGTGAAATCGAAAGCACCTGCGAGCTTCGCTCCATCACAAAGAGCTCTCGAATACAACACCAACTTTGGGCTACCTGAAGAACACAGCCGATCTGTCATGAACCACGTCCAGCAATGAATCGCTAAACCTTTCGCTCAATGCACACTTCCCTGGCGGCGCTGACACAAACTAGCTTACAGCGAACCTTCTTCTGTTGCCTCCAGCTCCATTCTGAACCTGCTAAGTCAGAAGAACGTATACTGGGCTTTCATCCCAACCCAATGACCTACGCCGGACAAAAAACAATAAATTGGATCAAAAGAATTTACGGGGGATTCCACGTACATATTCTGAACACATGGGTTCAGAACAAAGTCGTTTATTTTACCCAAGGCAGGCTATGCGAGTCGATGACGAATTCTGTCACCAAAATGCAGTGCTGGGAGAGCAAATGGGGGCTAGGCGTTAGCCCGTCGAAAACGGAAATAACACTCTTCACGAGGATATGCAATATTTAAATAGAATGTGTTCTGAATGCGTTATCACAACGGACCTGAACAGGATGGATATTCCCACAGTTCGATTTAACGTAGCCAAACCTTACCTGGTAGACAAATATGTAAATCCACAAGGACGATTCACAGCGAAAAATTTCAACAGTTGGAGGGACGCAGCAGTCAGGTGCTTGTCGAACAAAGGCGATGGAATTATAATAGGAAGCGTGTTGGTTATTTTAGATTAGTTGGTCGCAGGCGCCGGTCGGACCCGCCTGACAGTTGTGGTTGGTTGGCCAAGCCTAAATGGCAGCGCAACCACATGCACTCCACTCAATTACTGTCCCCATTTGCCTATGCACACCACAGCTCAATTTCCATCAACGTCACCCACTATCATGGAGATATTCACGCACGAATTCCCCCGACAGGCGTCCGAAAGGACTTAATCATAATTTGATTCAGCTTCGCCTCGTGCCAATGAGTGAAGCAGCTGAAATTGTAGCAAGCGCTCTATAAATAAGTTATCATTGAAGGCTGCGTCCCTTTTGCCCTTGCCTGCTTAAGTAACTTGTATGTATGGCCAACGTGGCCTATTTGTTCGTTTTTATTAAATCTCAAATGTCAGCGCACAGAATGAAATGTCAGCGGTAAATGATGAACCTCCCGAAACCTCTTTAAAATTTCTTTGCAAAAATCTTATGTAAAGCTAACAGACACTTAAAGCACGAATGAAAGTATTTATAATATAATATAATGGAACACGAGAAGGGACGTGTGAGACTCTTCTTAAGCGTCACAACTTTTATACCCGGTACTCAGTACATATGTACCTTAGTGGTTTTTTGACAAATTTTACAATTTTTCTTCATCTATCATCTACATTTACAACACACTTCGCCCCCCTTTCCATTCGAACACTGCGCGAAGCAGAGTGTGAATGAGAGAATGTGAAAAAAACAAATATAAGCTGCGGGACGGGGTGGGTTTAGCCACTGAAAATTAATTTCTTCATTGTTGCTATAATAATGACCCAATCGGATCTAATAGATATTGGCATTCCCTACAGAATTTCTTTTATCTTCAAAATTGAAGATTTGGGAGGTTTTCGCCCTTTTGCGGGGCGGGGCTAATTTTTTAAATACACTGGTTTCAGTGTGAGCATACAGCAGTCTGGAGCTAAAATTTGGTGGCTCTAGTTTTTATAGTCTCTGAGAACTAGCCGACAAACTAGACGGACGGACGGATTGACGTACAGACAGACATGGCTCAATCGACTCGGCTATTGATGCTGATCAAGAATATATATACTTTATGGGGTCGGAAACGTTTTCTTCTGTGCGTTACATACAACCGTTATTCGCACAAATACAATATAACCTATTTACTCTTTGAGTACCGGGTATAATAATATAAAATAGTAGAACAGAATAGAAAAGAATGGAATAAGGGAATGGCAAATAATGTAAAAAAAATGAACTCATTTTGCTTTGGCGCTGTTATGTTAAATGGAATCCATAAATTGAATTAAATTAAATCTTCAATAAAAATTCTTTACACAAGGGAAGAAGCCATTTCCGTCGTTTTCTTTGCCCATAGACAGTTTCTCCATTTCGTATATGGTAAACACCATTACATGTTCATGTCCATTACACTTCACCCCACTTGGCTATGACGTTTTGCAATCTGAAGCATTTGGGTTCATATAAATTTGGATGGCTGACTATGATGTCTATCGGCTTAAGCCCAGTTAACGTGTATTCCGCTCCACTGACCCCTATTGACTGCGTATGCCTAGTCTGGTCGGGAGATGACAATTAAATGAATTTCCTCATTTGGCCCACAATTGAATGAAATTATCCAATAAGCCAATCGCAGAAGAAGACCTGTGGATTGAATATACAAATTAAGCAGCTATCAGCTGGAGTTCCTTTGATGTGGACCCCACAAAATTCGCTCTGGACCGCAATTCGTAGATTTCTGGTTGTTCTTGGTAGAAGTTCCAGAGTATAGTCTAGGACCCCCATGTCCGTTAATTTGCATACAACAAAACATTACAAGAGTTTATCTCGTTGCCTGGGGGAGACCCGGTCCCCTTCATATATTATTATTTGTTGACTTTGCGGGTTGACTGCTCAAACAGAGGCGGAAAGAGTCAGAGGATTCGCTGTCAATGTGCTTCTTGCAATTGTTAAGTCAATGATGATAGATGGAGTGCAACGAAGGAAAATGGTGCATGACTCCTTCCCTCCTCTCCTCCTCAAAGATTGGTTTTGGTGTGCACATATGCTGTTATGTGCAAAGTAATTTTACACATAAGAAGTAATATATTTTTAGCTACTAATCGAATCTGATGTTAATTCATTACATTCCTCTTATTAATTCCTACATATCGAATATAATAAGCAAACAAATAGTGGCGATAATTTTTATGAATTAAAGAAGTATTATTTCTGTTAATTTCCAGCGGAGCACTCACTCACACCTCATTCATTTGCATGGAGCAAAGCTTTTTGTAAGAAAGCTTTTGGCGCATATGGCGTGTAGGTCTGGCATGAAAATGGGAGTTGCGGTGGACCGATGGAGCCAGTTCCAGCTAGCCCAAAGCTCTAAAAATAAGCAAGCAACAGAAAACACGGCATCGCCAACAGGCCTTCCTCCGAGTCAGCCCAGCATATATTGTTCCTCAATATGCTCAACTTACAGGAATATAACAAAATGCGCAAAAACTGGGGAGAATAGGTTCGTGAATACAATAATATCCTTTCTGTTGTCGCGGCTCATCAGACTGGTATTTAATGAATCAACAAGTGCTAAAAGGGTCTCTGGAATCTATCGCTCACGCCGTGCAATTTGCATGTATTCCTATTACATTTCGGTTCAGCTTAGACGATCCACTTGAAAAACGCCGCTACGGTAAGGTGAACGAAAAAATTCTCCTTAAATTTAACTTTTTGCTTACTCTACCCTCGAATTAACATTTTGATTGGATATTTCAATATTGCTCCATATGGAAGATTGTTTACTGCTCGCACTGGTTGCGGGGTTTGATTCGATTCGGGTTCGGGTTCGGGTTGGTGCTATACATGTAGCTATTGCTGGTCATATCATGCTAGCCGTTATTTTAGCACCTTTAACGCCCGACTAAGGTACGCGTTTGCACTCTACTCAATACCACAAATATCATTTTCAATACAACCTCGATAAGATAAAAAATAGTTCGTTCTGCTTTGTGATTGGGTCCCACAATAAATGCAATTACTTGTAGGAATTGAAATATGTTAACAATAAAATCTGTTTAGGAACCTGTTTTAGAAGAATTTTTAGGAACCCTTAATAATGATTGAGGGTTGCTTTATAAAACATTTATTTGAAATTAATTTAGCTGCTAACCTGGGCAGTCACTATTGGATCAGCCAGCTCCTCAGGAAGAACCGCTACATCAGGAATTACGCGCTCCTCAGCAATTTCGGGAATGGGATAAGAAACTACACCAGAAACGATTGTATCATCGAGGTCCGCAGGGGCATTGGCCTCCAATTCAGGAGTGCTGTTAGCCAGTGGCTTCACCAGTCTGCGCCTGGGCCAATATGAGGCCGAGCCAGGGTAGCCCATCCAGGTGCGCGGGGCATTCCAGTAACGAGGACCCGAATTCCAGCTGTACCAGTTATCAGAAGGTGTACCGTAGTCAGGCCAATAGCGGGGGAAGCCAGCATAGGGCATAAAGCGACGCTTTCCCGCAGTTGCCTTGGGAAAGAACTCTTTGGTGTCCGTTTTAGGCAGAACTACTGGAATGACACGGGGATTTTTTATAAACAGAGTGGGCTCAACTGCCAACTGGTCCACCGTCAGCTGTGGCTCTAACTCCAGCGGCTCCACCGCCAATTCGATTTGAGCGGAATGTGCTGGTCTTCCTCTTACAGAGACCTGGCCAGAAACCGAAGCCACTAAAACGGTACACAGCAGGGTGACGAAAAAACACATTTTGTCAACGATCAACTTCTTTCAAGTGGAAATTCACGGGTCCAGACTCCTGCTTTTATAGCGCTCCGCTTCTCTTGTGGCGCACAAATTGATCAGCTCAAATATTTAAGCAAATAAGTTAATTGAAGTTTTGTCTTTTCAGCAGGCCAGGCCTTGAGAATCCGTGCAAAAATGTTAGCCGCGTTTGCGTAGTTTCATTTTTATATTTGCGTAGTTGGATCGAAGCGAGTCCGCAGCGAGGGGGTTCGAAACAGATTTTTCTGAATGGTTGTCATTAACGGCTATGTCTTTTGTTGTTTGGTGTTTCCAACTGTTCTATTGTCTGAGAGAATTTGAAAATATAAACTTCATTTCGCAAAAGTTTTTTAAGAAGGAGATACGAGAGCCTGTATTCAGGCTTTATTGATCAGAATAGACCCGGTACTAGAAGAGTAACTAGGTTATATTGTATTTGTGCATAAAAGTTGATTTACGTATGTAACACACAGAAGGAAACGTTTCCGACCCCATATAGTACATATATTCTTGATCAGCATCAATAGCCGAGTCGATATAGCCAGGGATATAGGAAAGAACCATTTTCGATTATCGAATTGGGATTATATTGGATCATTATTATAGCCGGAATATAGAAACTAATCTGCAGTGACCAAACCCACCCCGTCCAGCAGCTCTTTTTTTCACATTAGAACTAAAAGAGCGTTTTGGCATGAGAAGTGATGTACATAGATGTAGTTGATATACATAAATTTAAAACTTAAAAATTTAAAAAAAACGACTAAACGGCAGATGTACTACTAAATACCGGGTCTAAAAGTTGTGACGCGTAAGAAGCGTCTCACACGCCCTTCCTCGTTTTTGTTAGATAGTCGCTTGGCCCTCAATTCAAGAGAACATTTAAGTTCATTAGCATCACATTCTTTTCAATACATTAGAATGTACTTAAAATCACAAAATCCTTAGCCATAACCATATACTTTATGCTGACAATCCATTATCTAGAATCTAGATGGATAAAAAATTTTACACTTCTTTTCTAATATTTCCATGGTATAATAAAAATAGTGTACTTTAACCATAGTAATCCATTTCTGACGTATCCAAGGGGCTTTCAAAGTAATCAGACTCCTCTCTTACTGAACTAGAGTCATTTTCAGTGTTCATTGCACGCAGCAATTCCTCTATATAGAAGTCCTCCGGCACACTTCTAACAGGACCCAGGCCGAGGAAAGCAAGACCAAAAAATCCCAATATCAGCAGAAAATGCATTGCTAGAAAAACAAACTAAATAACAATGGTTTCGTGGCTCGTTTTTATAGAAAACCGTGAGTTGATTATGTCAGAAGAAGCTGCACTCGTGCGTCGTACATGTAATGATTTTATCGTCTCGGAACAGCTGCTCATCATGCACAGCAAACAAAAGCTGGGGGAGGCTTCAAAGTTAATAGGTTGGTAAATCAAATAGTTATGAATAACTAAGGCAAAACTCTTCCCAAGCGGATTATTTGTCGGGGGTAGGCGAGATGGGAAATTTATTTCCATATGCTGGCTTCGAAGCGCAGTTCCAATTAAGCTAACAGAGCGTCGGGAAAGAGTGGGAAAAATGAGCAAAGTGAGACTCAAGTAATACCGAGCGCCGAGGAAAAACAAGTTTCATAAAGAGCAGAATGTAAGAGAACCTGTAAAAGAGACTGAACCAATGAACCCGCAGTAAAAGACTTCCAAGCTCGATTCCACAACAAAAGCAAAGTAAGTCAAAAATTCTTTACCATGTATGCCACCGATCTTAAATCGGATTAGGGAAAGGTTTACTTAAAGGACGAGCTCCATCAGAACAGCACCTGGCAGCAGCAATTATAAACTTGTGGAGCAAAATACGAAACTCTATCCCCGGACATGCCCCTTTCCACGGGCCATGAAAGTGACAAGCTGTCTCACCATCGTTCTAGTCTCTCACTCGGTCCTCCTCCTGCCTATTACAGAGGCCAACTACGCAAGCAAGCCACTCCTTCCAATTCCCAGCCATAAGAAAAAATCAGTTAAGCATGGGAGAGATTCGGCAACTGTGTAAACTTATACATTGAAAAATGATCAAAAACTTAAACATTTTGCTGCCTTTGTTTCCATGCGAGTCCGTCCGAAAATTTTTTTTAGACCCGGTACTCGAATAGTAAATAAATGGGGTATACTTATTGTATGTATGTATGTGTATGTGGTGGAAAGTAAATGTATGTAACGCCCAGAAGGAAACTTTTCCGACCCCATAAAGTAAATATATTCAGTAAGCATCGATATAGCCATGTCTGTCTGTCCGTCCGTCTGTTCGTCTGAGCGCCTGGATATCAGAGACATTAAAAGCTAATGCCACCAAATTTCCCATCCAGATAGCTAGGATATCACACTGTATTTCAAAATTTCGCACCGCTGCCTTAAAAGACGAGAATCTGCTGGATCCACAGTTTTGAAGATAAGAGAATTCTAAACATGCAATTTCGTAGGAATGACCATATCTATCAGATCACTGATTTCATCAGTATTATAGCCAGAATAAAGAAATTAATTTGCAGTGGCTACCCCCACTCCATCCAGGAGTTCATCTTCATTCTTTCTCACTGGGTATTAGATGTAGATGACAGATGTAGAAATATTGTTATATGGAAAGTTTGAAAAGAGCTACTAAGGCACGGATATACTGACTGAGCACCGGGTATAAAAGTTGTGAGGCGTACGAAGCGTCTCACACGTCCCTGCCCGTTTATCTTTAAATTGCTTCAATTGTCAGCCAAAAAAAACGCCCGTAATTGTATGTTTGACGTCATTAGAGCGTAGCGGCACCAAAAAAGGGAAAGAGACAAAAAGACAACTGCAACATTTTGTAACGCCAACCACAAATGGCATATCTGCAAGGGCGTAACGAATATAGAGAGAAATAACGCGTTGATAAGGCGTAGTTATCTTATCTACATACTGCATACTCGTATATATGGCCCTCCAATAGTTAGAGATACAATAACAATAACAACACGCAGATGTTGGACAGCTAAGTAAACTTTCACTCACAGGAAATGCAGGCAGCTTGCTACAAGAACCAAATTCAAAAAATTATTGAACTACTTTGGCTTTTGACCTGACCAAACAAAGAAACCCTGCCCCAGTGCAAGCAGAATAACAGAACCAACCCACAAGACAATATCCATCCAAATGGCAAACATTCAACAGCCATAACAAATTCTGTCTTTATTTGGATAATTTAGTATTTAAATGTCTTGCAAGCTTTAACCGGGGAAATTTTTTAGAATTTGGCTAATGCGATCACTTATCAAATTGGATTTAATCGGACTGGCCTCTCCTGTCTCAGGGCTGGGACTTCCGTTGAAGACTTTAAGTTGGAGACAAATTTAAAATTACATTTTCTTATAATACCTTCAGTTTACATAAGTCAGGTTACCCTTTAAGTTGGAGACAAATTTAAAATTACATTTCCTCTCTTACCTCTTCCTCACCTGGTTCGCTGCTATAAGACCTTCAGTTCACATAAGTCAGGTTAAAGAAATTCTAAAAATCAGAATATTTTTTGTCTGAAACATGTCTTACCCTTTTCCCACCGTCTTTTCGGCAATTAATTTCACTTTAATTCTTATTTGTTTTCAATTAAATCTAATTTTTGTTTATATATTTGTGTTCCTGTTATCGAACATATCCTCGCGCACAGCACAGGCAAAAATCACATTTACACTTACATTTATCGTTTATGGATATCGATTCAAGATACTTTTAATATATCTCAATCGAATATTTATTTTAAAATTAAACCTTTTTCTGCACACACCGTTCCAGCGGGAAACAAAAACAGGGACTCAGAATCAGAATCAGCGAACCGCTCGCCTTCACAGTAACTCAGATACTGAGGTTGCGAGCATAACTGCCTGCCACAACGCCAGGATAGCCAATGCTAGACGACGCGCCATTCAATGCTTCCATATGTTAGCAATTTAACGGAAAGCTCCGCTTTTTTGTTTCCAACCTTCGGGTTGGTTCGGTTATGTCCTCTTATCAGCGGGTGGGTGAGCGACGACTGATAACGAACTGAGCAGCAATTAGCAGGGTATGCCAAAGGATGCATTAACTGTGACCACATCGTGGTTTCTCGATTCTGATGGTTTGAAGCTTGATAGTGCAAATCAAATGGACTTGCAGGGAAAGTGTATCCCTGCTTATAATTCTGGTGAGGTGGTTGGGGGCTTTAAAGCTTTTAAAGTTCATTTCGCCTTAAGCTGCCATGAGGTGCAGAATTTTCTGTTAGCCACGGCAAAAAAATCCCTCTGGCACTCGATATTTGCTCCTCAACATGTTTAACCCGGCTGCAGCTTAATCGGCATTAGGAAATGAGAACAGCCGCAGCCAACTCTGCCCCTTCGCACATTCAAATGACTTCGAGTCTGTCCATTTCTTGGTGATTTTTGATTTTTAGCTAGATTACTTGGATAATTTCGATATTTTGAAGAGCACGCAATGACGCTCCATATTTCAGTTTCGTTTGCGAACTAAATTCTGAGTTCTCCATTGACTTCACTCCTGCAAAGCACAATCCACGACATACAGTACAAATTATGTATGTAGCTATTGAACATTCTGAATAAATCAACAGAAAAGGAGAAGCATTCAAGTTGAAATAGGTCTTGGTTTAATAAACTTATTGAGTCAAACGCAGGAAATAACTAAATATAAATTACTGGAGGTTCTGTCAGCTAATAAAAAAAATACTGGGAAACGGATTAGGATTACTGTTTTGGTATACCTACGAATAACATTTACAGACGTGACTACAACTCTAAGTAGGAAGGGGCGTGGAGCAAAGAGGCAGGGCATTCTTAAAGTAGGTTTCAACAGCTTAACACTTAGTTGTGGGAAATGGAAATACAAACTACATGGGGGGCCCTTGCGATGATTGAAAGTCTTATGATATGGCTTCGCTTAAAACATAAGGCTTCCAGTTGAGCATGGTCGGAAGGATTAGGCTCGGGTTGTCTCAGATCGAGCCTCTAATGATGCCGCACATGCGCACGCCTTGGCTTCTGCATGGTATTCCAGTCCAGCCTGGCCAGCGATGGGAGACTGCTCTCGTTGTTGTGATTCTTGGGCATTGAAGGGGCTGGCTCCTTAAGAGTGTAGTCAGGTGCCAGCACTATTGGCTGCAGGGTGCTAAAGTTGACCAGAGGGGCAGAGATGGGCGCATAACCGAGGCGCTCCGAAATTATGTTATTGGTGGGTAAGTTCGAGTTGGGCACAGGCAGTGGAGATTGGACAGGCGGCACATTCAGATTGAGTCCATACGCGTTTCTGAAAAAAAGCTTCGATTAGTCGTCGGTCAATGAGAATATGTGAATTTTAAGATTGGTGGGTTCAAGCCAATTGAAAGCGGAATTGAGTCTATCTACATTGGTGACGAGGTCAAGATTTAAGTTTGTTTGTATTATGTTATATGCAAGTGAAACAGACTATTGTGCTTCGTAAGAGGAGCAGACCTTGGGCAACCTATTTATTGGCTGAATCGCCTTTGCTTAGTTTTACTTTCATATTGACCGTCACTAGGGGCATCTTAGAGCTTAAGGGAACGAGAGAATGTAATCAATGTTGGTTATGGATCAGGCTAATATATTTACAGCGGAATAGTCTGGGTATTTCTGAGCGGGTCTTACCTCTTCTGAGTTATGGTGAACACGGATTTGCTCATAATCCGCTTTCCTGTGAGCCAGATGCGTCCAATATATTTGATGCGTTGTATGGCAATTATGGCTAGGGCAGCAGTCCTGTCAAAAAAAATAATAGTGTGTTTAAGTTACAAAGGGATCGACAAAAGAATATGCGGGATGACACATACTTAAACTTATTTTTGGACTTTCGCTGCTGTGCGTCCCCGGCCATGGTCCGCAGCGCAAGCTGCTCACTGGCCTGGTATCCCTCTAAAGTTAGTTTCAGATATCTTTTCTGATAGACCAAAGCCTTACGATGAGATTCTACGCGCAGATAGCGTCCGAGCAGCTGGCGGCAACGCTCCTCAAGCTCTACAACGTTACCACTGCCCGACCCGCTAAGCTCTTCGCACTTCTTCTGAAGAGCAATCCGCTCCCCAACCAGACACTGCACTGTCTCGGCCATCTGACGGTTCTCCTGGGTGTTCTCCGCTAGCAGAGTATTAATCTCCTTCATCTTTTGGAGGAACTGTGCCGGTACGGTATCGTCCGTACTGTGAGCGAGCCGATCGTTAGCTTGTGCC